CCTCGGAGATACGACAAAGGAACCCCTTTGTCGTATCTCCTCAGTTTCAAGGCACTCACCTTGTTGCCTCAGCCAGTATCGGAATCCTCGGCGTCGACATATCGAGTGACGTGCAGTTTCGTGGTCACTTGGAAGAGAAGGCTAAATTGGCCTCTAAAAAGTTTGGCGTGCTCAGCAGATCAGGACAGTATTTCATGCCGGCACACCCTCCTGCAACTTTACTAGGCGCAGGTTCGGCCTTATATGGAATACTGTTCCCATCTCTAGGCAGGGGCTTCCCAGTGCCAGATCCTTCCACTTGACCGCATCCAGCGCAGAGCGGGTCGAATCGTCGACGACCGAGTTCTTTCCGATCGGCTTGACTCACTGGCACTGCGTAGAGATGTTGCATCTCTTTGCGCATTTTATCGCATATACCACGTGGAGTGCTCTGAGGAATTGTTCGGACTAATTCCAGCCGCTCAATTTCACCATCGCACATCGCGACAAAACTTGCGATACCATCCATACCACCTGGATGATTGGCGGTCCACCACTGTGATAGATAGAGATGTATTCTTCCTCGCACAACTTCCTTGTGGAATCGATTACCACCAGCGAATTTTCCGGACCGATACGACTTAGGTACCTTCCCCTGGTGTTGCAGTTGTTCATGGGTGGCGGTAGTCACTTACCATCAGGTGAGCCGCATGCTCGTTTGCCCCCTCTCCTATAAAAAAAACCTCACAGCTATGCCTCAAATATTGACATTCTGTAACTGTCATCTATCGGAGCAGTCAATACTCGCCATTTTGCGTCATTTTTTTTAAATTACTGGAAACTACTATTATACTTCGCATCTAGCACTAATGTTATAATAATATATAAATTTAGATCTGAAAAATATTTTTATTCTATTTTATTGTATAAACCATAACATTATACCCATATATTTAAAGAAAACACGAATTAAGTAAATTATTTCCCCCCGGGCAGTAAAACACACACTCCATCACTGTGTTTACTTAAGTCACAGGAACTTACACATTTTTTCGTCACGTGTTTCGTGCAAAATTACAATATTCTTATTGTTCATCCATTCATCATCAGAACGTAAAAGCTGGACATGGGTATCTATTGTTGTAGGGAAGATTCGTCGTAATCACGTATAGCATGCGGCTCTTCCTACTCTAAGTAGGTATGCTACTCGAACACTCGTACATTTAAGAAAATTATTTTGTAAGGTTTCAGACCAACAAAGAAACATTTCAAGTGTCAACGAAACTATTATTTTTATAGAATAAGTGTGACAAACGAGCGCATAGTCCACCTGATATCAAGTGGATGCTGTGACCCATAGACATCTAAATTTATTCTCCCTGTCACCCCTGAGAACTGAGATGAAATGCCTCGTCTTCAGTAAAAAGGGTCTCCGGTTCCCTACACTCACCACTCGAAACACAGCAACATTATGCTACTATTTTACGTCGGTATTCTGTGAGAGCGTCGACCTACCCCAGTCGGGCCAACCCATTCGTGCTACAACCATAATATAGCTGCAGCGTGGGTCTACCACATTTCTATGCTCAACTTCTTGACACTCACTCACGCGTATATCTATTTTTTCCCTCCTTTATAAGTTAACAATAGTTATGACTTGGTTTTTGCGTCATTTCAAATGCAACTCCCCTTCTATCTTCTTTTGTTAGTCTGAGTGTAAGGAATACAATCCAATCAAACTTTAAATGTTTTAAGAATTTAAAGAAAGGTTACATATAATATAGTATAATTATTTCTACAATGTCCGTAAAACTGAATGTCACTTTAAAAGCGTTTACGGTGAATGACATTTACGACGTAGGTTTAGTATTAGAATCGTGTTTCTACCTAGATCGGCCAGACTAATCCCTCGTCCCCTTCGTGAACGGAATGTTACTTGGATTAACACAGTCTGCACCTAGTATTAAAACAGATAACCTAAACCTTTTTATCTGAACTAGTTGGAAAAGCAAAAACAAAATGTATTACCTACAAAATTTCGATTTCTAAATACCGAGAACTAAAAGTTCAAAAACAAAATCGTTCTATTCTGTCTGATATTAAACGATCTCCTTAGCTATCCTGATACAACGTCATTTTTAATGTAATCTAGCGATCCGCCCCGGCTTCGCACGGATAACTTCTGGATCTCGACAACAGCGCCACCTACCGGGTTCAATTGTGAATCTAAACCATCCAGGTACGCACACAAAAATATTTAATCAAAATCATTCGAGCCGTTTTCGAATTTTAGCGAGACTAGCGGACAGCAATTGATTTTTATAAATAGAGCTGTCGTATTTTTTTGTATACTTTTAACTGCTTAATTGCATTTTTCGTGTCATCGTACTTACGTGGTTATATAAAATAAAAATGAGATACGACAGTGTTGCAAGCGAGCTTTCTCTAAGCACGATGCTGCATTACATTTTTCAACAAAACGACTACGTCAGCTAGCGTAAAATATTTGAGCGATAATATTTGATAATTTATACCTATTTTGTTTATTCTTTTTAATTATTTATTTTTAATCAAATACTTCGCTCAAAAGTGTAAAAAATTAGACATTTGATAAAAGTGAAATCTAATTTTAAATAAATGAAAGGAATAAAATAGTTTCCACATAACTTCTGTAGTGGAGGCTTTAATACTTCTGTATACTACATCTAAGCAACGACTTCTGAAGTTATAATATAGATGTTGTAGTGATGGGGGCGATCCTGTACGTTATAATATAGTCGTTCATGGGCGGCGGTAGTCACTTACCATCAGGTGAGCCGCATGCTCGTTTGCCCCCTCTCCTATAAAAAAAAAGATATATGTGCTGATTTTGTTTTCTACTTCTTTGAAGTCGGCTTTTACTTTTCATGTTTTGCATCCGTGTAATTTTCACACATTTAAATGCTAAATTCCATTAAAAAAGAACTTACGTGTTTGCTCTCCTTCTCTCTTCATTAGCCTGTATCAATCCGAAGCTGAACATGGACTTTTTTTACTGTAGGGATAATTTTACCATAATAGACATGCTCGTCAAGCGAATTATCGATTTTGTACCAGATGTCTCGTATGTAATTAAACTAAAGCCTTAAGATACAGTATCAAGTTATAAGTGTCGTTAATTCTACTCTGAACGTACGATAATATATACGAAATATATAACGAATCTACGTGAAATAAGATAAAGAAGATTGTTAATATTAAACTGGAAAACTATTGCAATTAACAAAACAATTTTAAAGGAGGTTGAAAGTTAGCGCTATGGGCTGATTTAATTCTGTTTCTAACCGTTGTTTAATTGCGTTTAAATATTTTACGGCTCGGTAGCGCTCGATAGTGACTAAGTACTTGGCCTCGACGCTGTGGGCCGCGGGAATTTAGGAATTGCTGGGATCAAGTGTTTGTATAGTTTTTTTCTGTTCTTGATGTTTGTCTATGTGCAATTTGTCTACCAAAAACATTCCAACGGTACAGGAGAAAATACTAGTAAGAGAGTAGTGCGGGTTTTTATTGGTCTTTATTAAATTAAACATTAAAGAACACATAGCTGATGTGAAGAAACGACGCTCCGGGAAGTCTTCAGTCTGTAAACACGTACAGGATCGCCCCCATCACTACATTAGATTTGATAGACCACAAGTCCTCATTAGAGAACACCGATTACTTCCAAGAATGATTCGCGAGGCTATTGAAATCAAAAAACATCCTAACTTCAATAGAGAAGATGGCTGGGTGCTACCATTTGCTTAAGATCCTATAATTAATAAAATTACACGGGACGTCAAACACCTCAGTCCCCCAGTGACCATGAGTGCTGTAAAGTGCTCGAAACGTCGGGAATATAAAATAAGTTAATATACGCGATAAAATCCGTAAAACTAGTTTTATTTAAATGTGTAGTGTTCACGTAAATATAAGAAATCAATTGTGTCCTATAGCTGTGACGGCGGCTGCTAGGGAATATTGTGAATTTGTGACAGTTCCAAATGGACCAACATCCAGACCTAGATCAATTATTTGTAAGCACAAACAAACACTTAACCACTTCGACCGCAACTGGCGATTACCTAACGATTGTGTAATTTTTTTTTTTATTACCGATAATAAGAAGTAAATTGATAAATAAACTATATTTTTAATTGTATGAGTAAAAATATAGTTTATTTTTCTTGTCACGCTATTTCTAACGTTACTTTTAAAATAAATAGGCCCACGAAAGAGTTTTGTATTTTATTTTAAATATTTCATATCAAAATATGTAAACTGGCTAAAAGGATTACGTTTTAAAGTAGAAAACATCTGACGAAAGAATCTCCTACACACTTCCGAGATACTCGCGTTTCTCTCATATCGGATAAACATTCTGAAAAGCTTTTAAATAAAGCAATCGAGTGTGAAGTGCGCGTCGACTGCCACGATTCTACTATATAGAATGAAAAAAGCTGATTTTATAAAACAGGCTCTAAGTCTAAATGATTTCTTGCTTGCTTGCATCGGCAGCCTTCCGATGCCTACATCGCGTTCATTTTAAGAAGTATTCGAGTGAAAATAATTCCGAATCGTTTAGTATAAATTGAACAAATAAAAAAAATTCCGTTATAACATTCAATACAAGAAAAAAATAAGTAAGGTCGTGTGGTGGAGGCATAAAAAATCACCTCCCGTTTTGGCTTATGAGTGTAGCAAGAGGCGACTATTACTAAACCCAGAAAGATTCCAAGACTTGTGATAAATGACCGTATAACAATCTTGTTTACGTCAGATGTAAAATATCGAAACTGGCAATGGGAAATATTCTGCAATCTGCCAATATGCGTATGTGGACTGTGACAGAAACCCTTGGCTTCCGTCGAAAGGTGCTCATCAGTTGTGTCTTAAACTGTTGGTAACTGCAGAGAGGTGTAGGACAGGGTGACTTTATGTCTCCGAAACTCTTCACTGCTACTTTGAACGGTGACCATTCTCTCTGGGATTGTGATCTGTACTTGCATCGAAGAGAGAAACGCATTATTAGACAGCTTACAAAGAACAGCAATAGGACCAGTATACTTCCGGTACCAAGTGTGCTGCGAATCCAACTTTAAGCAGTTGAGGAGATTTGCGCATGTATGGCATCACAAGAGGAAACAGTATGAGGACTGAACAATACGACCAGATAGCTGCGAACGCGAAGTATCGTCGCTGTGGAATCACGCCCCAGAAGGGGGAGAAGTGAAATGTAGAGAAAAGGGAGGGATCAGAGAGATTTGTAGGGAGTCCAGCAAGCGCACGCGGGAAAGAGCAAGTACCGTGTGTGTCTCCAGTGACTCGGTCCGTATGCCGCAAAGCGGGTAGGACCATGGGATGGTGGAGGGAATGCTACTTTGAACGGTTTTCATAATACTGGGCTGGAAAGGATACGATATCAATATCAATGGCACGTACATTATTACTCATTATCGATTTGTTGCTATATAGTAATTATAGTAGAATCGTTGGACGGCACAGCATTATGCTCAATGATCTCAACACTAGTTCCCTACATATAGATCTAGGCACAGTTGTTGAGAGTACTACGCTCGAAGTTGTTGACGAGTATGTTTACGTAGTAGATACTCTCCGACTAGGTAAATCCTACTTCGACCGAGAGTTCAATTGACATATTCAACTGAGCTGGACAGCGTTCGAGAGATAACGACACATCACGTCAAGTATATGTACCTTAAAATTTAAAAAACAAGTGTGTACAACCAGTGCATGTTGCCAGTCATATGGATCGGAGACGAGGTTCGTCAGTGCTGGCCATATGAGGAAGCTTTAGGTCGCTCAGCGGGTTATGAAACGGGCTTGAAGTTTCGCTGTGTGATAGAATTCAAAATAAAGTTATCCGCAGTAGAAGCGTGGTGGGTAGAGCCATGCTGCTGCTATATTAATTGTATATTTGTAGCACGAATGGGTCGGCTCGACCGGGGTAGAACCACGCTCTCACAGAATACCAGCGTAAAATAGCAGCTTAATGCTGCTGTGTTTCGTATGATGAATATAGAGAACCGGAGACCCTTTTTACTACAAAAAAGGCATTCCATCTTAATCCTCACGGCTGACAACGCATCTGCATTTTGGAAAAGTGGCAACAGGACGGCCATATGGCTCGAAAACACAATATATATATATATATATATATATATATATCCTTATCATAGAAGATAAAGATTTTGGCTAGGGTGAAAATCTAAGACATTTCTGTGCCATTGGCCACATTTACTGAATAGGTGTCCATTTCAAGATCCCTGACTAATGAAGGTTATCGTCAGCGTCGGTCCAAATGTGGTGAACGGGCTTTTCAATATTCAAAATGTGTAAAGTTGTAGCTATTGACGAAATCGGCTGTAAGAACATTTAAATTAACGGGAATGGATATTACCCAGTAAGTGGCGAGCGGAAAGTAAAACTAGTAATTTAAATTCAAATCGAAATGTGACGGCAATAGTATATCCAGCTCACACTGTATAACAGGGGTCAGAGCGAAGGGTTAGTCTAGCCTATAGAATCTAGGTATAAATGTATTGCATTACACCCTTCAAGCCTGAATGTCAATCACCTTGAAACAAAAGCCTTATTACAAAATGTGTTTTATTGACAGTTACCTCCACACTAGAATTTCCCCTTGTATCGTTGGGCCAGTTTACATATAAATTTCATAAGGACAAACATCCAGGCCTGGAACAAGTATTTGTAGGCCATACAAATATACTTGTTCCGTGCGGGATTCGAACCCGCGGCCCTTAGCGCTGCAGCTCATTGCTAAGCCACTTCGCCACGGACTCTTTTTTAGATTGTCCTCAAATAATTGTTATGGTCTAGATTTTTACCATGTGCTATTTAAAATTAAAACACCACCTCGGTATGTAAATGAAAATACTAGAGTGAAGGTTATATTTTTTATACAACAAGTGACAAAAGAGCACACAGTCCATCTGATGATAAATGTATTATATACATCTACATCAATCCTCTATGAAGAATCGTAATGCAGATGCGTTATCACCTCTGAGAACTAAGATTGAATGCATCATAGCCTGTAATTAAACTGACTAGACCCAGACTGAAAAACACAACAGTGCACGCATTGCTATTTTGCGGCAGAAATAGGTATAACGGTCAAATAGTCAGAGAAGATGTGATAGATGTGTTCTTGTGGTGGAGCCATGCTGTAGCTATATTAATGATATAGTTGTAGCACGAATGGCTCGGCTCGACTGGGGAAGGATCACGCTCTCACAGAATACTAGCGTAAAATAACAGCTTAACACTGCTGTGTTTCGTATGGTGAGTGTAGAGAACCGGAGACTTTTACTGGAAACGAGGCATTCTATCTTGGTCCTCAGGCGTGACAACTCATCTGCATTTTGATATGTAATCGAGAATAGATGTAGATGTCTATGGGCCACAGCAACCACTTACCATCATGTGGACTGTGTGCTTGTTTGTCACCCTAATGCCATAAAAAAACTAACACCTCTCTAATTTTAATGCACAAACGAAATTAATAATTGTATCAATTTACGGTGGATGGTAATATTGTATTTCTAATTATATTGATCATTCATCATTACAGCCCTTCACAAGTCCACTGCTGAACATAGGCCTCCCCCAAAGAATGCCACAAAACACGGTCCTGAGCCACCTGCATCCATCGACTTCCTGCATGTCTTACCAGGTCGTCACTCCATCTCGTGGGGGGACGCCCTACACTTCGCCTGCCGGTACGAGGCTGCCACTCGAGAACCTTTCTTCCCCATCGGTTGTCGGTTCTTCGAGCTATATGGCCGGCCCACTGCCATTTCAGCTTACTAATCCGTTGGGCTATGTCGGTCACTCTGGTTCTACTGCGGATATCCTCATTCCTAAGTTTATCACGCAGAGAAACTCCGAGCATAGCCCTCTCCATAGCTCGCTGAGCGACCTTGAGCTTCCTCATACGGCCAGCAGTGAAGGACCACGTCTCAGTTCCGTAAGTCATCACTGGCAACACGCACTGGTTGTACAATTTCGTTTTAAGGTTTTGAGGTATGTCTGACGAGAAGATGTGTCGTAGCTTCCCGAACGCTGCCCAGCCGAGTTGAATCCGTCGATTGACCTCTCGGTCGAAGTTGGACTTACCCAGTCGGACTATTTGTCCCAGGTAAACATACTCGTCAACAACTTCGAGCTTAGTGTTCCCAACAACTACCGGCATAGGTGTGACATGGACATTAAACATGATCTTAGTTTTGTCCATGTTCATCTTAAGACCTATCCGTTGGGAAACACTATTGAGGTCATTGAGCATAGTGCTTAGGTCCTCCAGCGATTCTGCCATAAGGACTATATCGTCGGCAAATCGAAGGTGAGTGATGTACTCGCCATTGATGTTGATACCGTATCCTTTCCAGTCCAGAAGCTTGAAAACGTCTTCCAATGCAGCGGTGAAGAGTTTCGGGGATATGACGTCACCCTGTCTTACACCTCTCTGCAATTGGATAGGTTTCGTACTCTGGTTCTGTACTCGGATAGCCATCGTAGCCCTACTGTACAAGCACTTCAACACTTCGATATACCGACAGTCAACTTGGCACCGCTGAAGGGACTGCAGCACCGCCCAAATTTCGACGGAATCAAAGGCTTTCTCATAGTCCACATACGCCAGACATAGTGGCAAATTGTACTCTTCGGACTTCTGTACAACTTGCCGAAGGGTATGTATGTGGTCTATGGTGCTAAAGCCCTTTCGGAAACCGGCTTGTTCGGGAGGCTGGAAGTCGTCAAGTCTGCGCGCGAGACGATTCGTAATGACTCTCGAAAACAGCACGTAGACGCGGCTCAGAAGGGAAATCGGTCTGTAGTTCTTCAAGAGAGCGTTGTCACCTTTCTTGAAGAACAAGACCACCGCACTTCTGCTCCACGCCTCCGGTGTAATGCCACCATGGAGGACGGAATTAAAGAGCTTCTGAAGGACTTCAAGTACCGGTCTTCCACCCGCTTTCAGAAGCTCCGCTGTAATTCCATCCTCGCCTGGGGCCTTACCGTTTTTAAGGTGCTGCAGAGCCATCCTAATCTCGCTCAGACTGACATCCGGGATATCTTCGGAATAGTGTCGGATGAGACTTGCTCTTGGATCGTTACTCACACTTGCGTGTGGCTCCAACGATGATGTGTACAGCTGCCCATAGAACCTCTCAATCTCACTCAAAATCTCAGGTGTCCCGGAAACGATGCTGCCACACTCTGTCTTCAGCTTTGACAGTTGGCTCTTTCTGGCAGACAGATCTCTGGCAAAGACTTTGGAGCCTTGGTTCCGCTCGATCGCTTCTTCAATACGAGCTATATTGAAGTTGCGTAAGTCCCGCCGCGTGCATTTGGAGATCTGTCTGTTCAGATGCCTGTATGCTGTCAAGTCTGTTGAAGAATGTAGCTTCATCTCCCGTCTAACAGCCATGAGATTAAGAGTGTGATCGGAGAGTTTTTGTGTTCTTCTGCGGCGGGTTTTGCAGAACTTAGCTCCAACCGCATGGACAGTTTCCACGAGCTTGTCATTCATATCGTCCACTTCATTGCAGTCTTCCAGGCACTGAAAACGGTTTTGTAACTCGAGCTGAAAGGTTTCGGGACTTTGGAACAGAGCACGAGGGGGACGGAGCGTTGACTTCATTAGACGAGACCTCTCCAACTTAACGTTTAGGTTCAGTGTGCCTCTAACCATTCGGTGATCGCTACCAGTTTTCACCCTCGCGATCACGGAGACATCACTGAACAGTTGTCGTCTGGTCGTCATAATGAAGTCAATCTCATTTTTTGTGGAACCGTCGGGGCTCGACCAGGTCCACTTCCTGTGGGGCCGCTTCTGGAAGAAAGAGTTCATCATAAAGAGTCCCTCTTTCTCCATGAAGTCGGCCAGCTGCTGGCCCCTTGGGTTCCGTTGCCCTATTCCAAATTTCCCTACTTTCAGCTCACCGTTCTCTCTTGTGCCTAGTTTTGCATTGAAGTCTCCCATTAACACCGTATATTGGGTTTTGGAGGAATGC